TTTCAAATGATACCTCATAAGACAAACTTTGTACAAAATTTAACAGTCTTGAAAAGGGGGTAAACATAGGGATACAGATTGTTACTTTGTTTCTGGGTTATTTGCTTTAAAAACAAACTTTTTTTTACAAAGAATAGGAATTTGCAGGTATAAATTAGTAATCTCCTCTCTGTAAAACAGATAGATATAAGAATAGCTACAATAGAAATAGCATCCTTTGTCTTTTGGCATTTTCTAAACAAATAGCTTCCGAGATAGATTAAATGCCTTATCTTCATTTTTCTGCTTAATCAATTTCACTGTCCATTTGCTGCTTCATATAGTACAGAGAAGTATAGATTATCAGTGTAAACAAATATAATTGGAATGCGCAAATTTTGAGACTTGCTCAAGTGGAGTAATGGAGTGTTAATATTTGATAACTTGTCAAAAGTGGGAATATATTAATGAAGTGATAATCTTATCAGAATACTTAACATTAATTTCCCATTGCTTTGTACAATGTAAAACACAATAGCAATATTCCATAACCTCACGCACAACATCACAGCTTGTGGCATAATAGATGTAAATTCCAAGAGAACTGATATTATTATTATTAGCTTCAGAGATCTTTTACTTGTGTATAATATTTTTTTATTAATCCCTTGGAAGCAATCATGCCTAGGCCAGCTAAGAATTAAGGGTGTGTGATTCATCACCCTATTCCTTGGGAACTTATGGATTTCATACCAAGTAGCAATTTTACAGAAAAATATTATTTAGAGCTACTGACCTCTGTGACATTTTTTTCTCTTCTAGTGTATTTGGTACAAGGTAGTTAATATATGCCAAGCTGTGTCAGGGAAACAGCGAGGGGAAAAATGTAAAATGTAAGTAATAATGTAAATATTTAATTTAGCTGCACAAAGGCCAAACTCCAATGATAAAAGGCAGGCCAGAAAAAAATGTGTAATTTGGTGTTTGATTTGAGAGTTATATGTTGTTTGTTTTTACTTGGCGAGCGCTTTTATCGGTCTCTCCGGTAACTTTTAGAAAATAGTTAATGAGGAAGGTTTATGGAGTAAGTAACCACAAAATGTGTACATTTTGCTTAAAAAAAGAAGCCAAAGGAAGCACAAGGGCAATGTAATATCCCAAAGTTGTGTGAGGCATATATACATTAATATTATTTTAATTATGGAATCATTAGGGGCATTCTGATATATGTACACAGTTAACAGTAATTAAATTCTGCATTTTCTGTTGGTCAACAAATGTATTGGTGAGCATATCTGTGAGAAGGTGTTTAAAGTAAAACTTATATGGCATTGCTCCTGGAACTGTTCCCATACTAATGCCTGTTCAGTTTTGAAAAAGATGAAGCACATCCCTGAAGTAACTCTTTTGTAACTGGAGAGCCAGATTTACTGTAGGGCCTTTGCAGGCAGAAGCTGGAGGTGACTGTCTTGGTTCAGAAACCTCTGCCTGGGTGAATATAGAAGTTCCAGATTCCCTTCAATCCAGCAATGCCAGGGGGCTTTCAGACAGCCAGTAAAACCCTAAAATTGATGGTACTAGTAAAAAAGTGACCAGACAGGCTACTGGTTAAAGCACACCATCCACTTCTGCTTCTGTCTGAGAGCCTCATATGCAGCCCCAACAAAACTTACAGTGCTGCCTAATAGGATTCCGCCACTGCTCTCCCTTTGAAAATAATCCTTCCCTCTCCCCAGACTAGGTTAGAGTGGCTCTGATTGTTCACGGAGAAACAAGAGTTATATACCAAGAATGAATCTGTCCTGTTCTACCAAGAAACCACATAGAATGTCCCCTTCTTCATACCCACATATTCAATCAACAGAAAAATCTGTAGTGAAAGAGACAGAGGCTTCAGTTTAATTAGGTAAAACTCATTTTGATTATTTTGGCATATGTATTCCCCCAAGCTCTAAAGAGAGGAAGATGTCTGAAAATTAGATAATTGTATATGCCACTGGAAGTGAAACCTAGCCTAGAAAGATGACTTTCAATGAGCAGTCACCGTTTTACAGTGTTTGCTTTCCATTTGTTATATCTTTTATATCAGGGAAACTGTTAAAGCTAATTTTAACCTTCTGACATTCCTCTATTGCCAAGATATGATTGTTAGTCTTGGAGATAATTACCAAGTAATTTGTAGTAAATTGATACAATCCCCATTGCAATACATCATTGCTATAGTCATATGGGAACTTTTGCAACAATCTTCAACTCCTAGTGCTAAATGTTTGATGACTGAATGCTTCATCCAGTGGTAAAAGTAACTTAAAATTCTTTAAAGGTACTGTCCTGTTGCAATCTAGGTCCCTGCCAATTCTTTAAATAGCTCACTGCTGGCTTTTGCCACAGCTCAGCCAGCTCTTGCCAGATCTGCACCCCAGAGTGCACCTGGTTATTTTCGCCTTTGGCTTCATATGAAATTTCTAATTCATGTGACCTGTCCAGTTCCAGTGTAAATTACTGATCCCATGACTGACTAGAAATAGACTTCCAGATAGTTTGACCATCCATAGTGTTGTCCACATTCAATCAGCATAGACATCATTGGACAAGTCATCTGTTTTCAGAAGATTTTGATTACTCCCAATTTTACTTTTGCTTGTTCTGCTCACAAAAGATGGTCTTGCTTCATTTGGACTACACCCAGGCAGAGTAATTGACATGTATTTTGATCAACCAGCAACATTTTTAGAATATCTTGGCAGCCCATGAGCCTTGCTTTTAATTATGGTACTTGTAAAAGTTACTGGTTGGAATAGCATATTATACTGTTTCTATGTAGACAGTATTCTTTGGTGTAGATTTAATGCTGGTGAAGATACCAATGAAAGCTCTTTTGTAACAATACTGCTTTTGAGATATTTAGGGAATTCATCTTTGTTCTAATGAATACTTTAGACCATCTTCTAGTTTGATTCATTAAATCTTGCTTGAGCTTCTGAAAGTGCTTTTCTGTCAGTAACTTTTCTAGAGCCAAGCAATTTCATCACATTCTTTGTACCTTCTAATACTACATACTTTATGCTAAAATGATGCCTTGTTCTCCATTTGAAGCTCAAGAGGGCTTATCACAGGTTTTGCCTTATCAAAAAGGCATTCATTGGTGTGGACTGCATGAAGAATCTGTATCCTTCTGATTTCTATTTTTGTCTAGCTGGCCTAGAGCATCTATTTAGTTGTAGCAAGATGTTTTTGATCCTTTGAAAAGCCATTGGAATACATTTGCATCATATTCTCTACTACTTGCTTTATCTTCAGTTCTAGATCTACTTGCTTTTTTAAGATCACCAATCTGTTGTTATTAGAGAAACGGGGCACACACGCACACTCTCACACACGAAATCTGCACACAATAGAGTCCTGCCGGAAACTGTAATTGTTCTCTTGCCTGCACTTCGTGTCTACCCATCAGTTACCATATACCAACCGTTTTAAAAATTAGGCATCTATTGCCAGCAATCAGTATTCTGCTATTCACTCAGAATGTAAGGCTGGATTTGTGAATCACTGAGCCTGTCCTTTGCACTGAGGAAGTTCCTCAGAATTCATGTTAAATCACTTTTTGATGGGCAATTATAGTATGTTCTTTTGGTTCCAGTCATACATGATGGTTACATAGTGTGTCATTTTTCTTGAAAGCTGAGAGATCCTGAGCTATCACTTGGAAAGGTTTATGTAACCTGTTTCTGCCACGGTTCCCTGGGAGCTGCTGGCAGCAGGCTGGAATGGCAGTTTGCTTCATATTCCTGCTCTGTGCCAGAGAAAATTGTTCTCCTGCTGGACAGACAAGACAGGAATGTGTGACGGACTCTCAGAAATCACTAAAACAGGGAAGATACTTCCCATCTGCCACAGATATAAGGGAGCAGCTCATCAGTCTTTGCTCTCACTCCAGAACAAAAATATCATATGGAGATAATGGAATATGCTGAGGAAAGGGGTATGTAATGCAGCCTTTGGGGTGAAGCAGAGAGGTTGTTTGGAAAGGCTATCGAGTTGATGGAGCCTTCCATTAATGCAGATAATTGTAAAGAGCATCCATACTTTTGAGGTCCTCACATCATTAGATGTATATACTTTTGGGTAATGGTTTGTCTGGTTTATTACAGGACTGTGCATGCACTTTTGTAATGATAATACTTAGATGTGCATGTTTGTTTTTCTTGAAACAGAGCAATCATGTATTTAATGGGAGAACGGGCTTCACAATTAGCTCAGAGAAAACAGGCTGGAACTACCTCAAAAGTATTGGATGCTCTTCAGAATTATCCGTATTAATGAAAGCCTCCATCGACCCAACAGCCTTTCCAAACAACCTCCCCACTTCACCCCAAAGGCAGCATTACATTCCCCTTTCTTAAGCATATTCCATTATCTCTATATGATAACTGGGTAAGCTGTGTGAAGGTGTGTTTGGTACATTGTATGACTTTTAATTATCTGATAGGGATGAAAGCATATTTCTTAATACTTTGCCTACATATTTGTGACAGTGTGATGGGATTGAAGACAGGCTGGAAGGTCTCTCTAACTCCACTGCTGCTAACTATGCACACATTTATTACTTTACCATCCTTTTATGGATCTTTAATGACTTTCAGTCCTGTGATCCTCTGTGTCTTTGCTGTGTGTCAGTCACAAAATCAGCAGTGCTTTGGTTACACAGTGTGATTCTAGTGGTGAATTGGACAATTTATGCACTGCTGCTGGTGACATACTTTGTATGGACTGATTCAAAACTTATTGAAGTCAATGGAAAGACTTCTATTGATTTCAAATGGGCCCATAATTTCACAACTAACCTCTGCTTCCCCTTTTGATCTTCTTGCTGCACAATGATTCTGATCTCAGCCTTGCATGCCTGCCTTAAATTCAGTCATGTAAAACCTATGCACTTTTATTTAGCATGAAGTTAGCTCAAATGCTGGAACTCAGATTTTATTATTGTTGTTCTTTTTTCTTGGTGTAGGGACTGAAGTTCACCTCACAATAGAGATGATGGTCAAGTGTTCATTTAACTTGTTCTGAAAAACCTCTGCCAGAGATGCCCCAAGCTTCACAAGGTAATTTGATCCAATGCTTAACTACTAGTTAAACATCTCTGCCAGAGATGCCCCAACCTTCACAAGGTAATTTGATCCAATGCTTAACTACTATTACAGTTAGAAAGTTTTTTCTAATGTCTCACCTAAATCTCCCTTGCTGCAATTTGAGCCCATTGCTTCTTCTCCTGTCCTTAGTACATAAAGAGAGCAATTGACCACCCACCAATTTTTTTATTTTTCTTAAAGATCATGTTTTCTAGAGCTTAAAAAAATTGTTACTCTTTTCTGGACTTTCTCCAGTTTATGCACCTCTTTCCCAAAGTGTAGTAGCCAGAACTGGATGAAGTTCTCCAGCAGAGGCATTCTCAATGCTGAGTATAATAGAAGAATTATTTCTTACGTCGTGCTTATTATACTCCATCAAATACATCCCAGAATAATGGATACTTTTGCAATAGTATTACATTGTTGATACATTTTCAGTTTATGATATACTATAATCACCCTGAATCTTTTCTGCAGTGCTTCTTTTGAGATCATAATTTCCAATTTTGTATTTGTGCTATTTATTATTCCTAAGTGTCGTACTTTGCCTTTGTCCTTATTGGATTTCATCCTATTTATTTGGAACTCTCTAGTTTAAGATCATTTTGAGTTATAATCCTGTCCTCCAAAGAATTTACAATCCCTCTTGGTTGGTATCATACTTTATAAGTTCATTCTTTGTGCCATTATCCAAATCATTTCTGAAGATTTTAAATAGAACCAGACTCAGGACAGATTACAGTGGGACCCCACCCAATACGCCATTCCAGGTTGTTTATGAACTATTGATAAATACTCTCTAGTTACAATTTTCCAAAAAGTTGGTCACCCACCTTATAGTAGGTTTATATAATACTTATTCTCCTAGTTTTCTTATGAGAAGGCCATGTGAGACAGTATCCAAAGCCTTATGAATTATCTATCACATCAGTATATTTTCCCTTTTCCCATCCTCGGGGATCTTGTCTATCCCTGTACAAGTTCTCAAAGATAATCGCTAATGGCTCATATCTCTTCAGCCAATTCCTTAAGTATTCTAAAATGTATTTTGTTTGACCCTACTGAACTGAAGACCACTAATTTGTCTAAGTAATTCTTAGCTTGTTCCTTCCCTATTTTAGCCTCAGATCCTATCCCATTTACATTGATGTTCACTATGTTAGTAATTCAATCACTACTAACCTTTTAGTGAAAACTGAAGCAAAAAGGTCATTTAAAGTTTCTGCCATTGCTGCAGTTTCTCTTTTTCTCATCATTGAATTATGGCCCTACTCTGTTCTCTCACTTCTAGTGTATTTAGAAAATGTTTTCTTGTTACCTTTTATGTCTGTAGCTTATCTTGTTTTGGGCCTTGGAAATCCAGGCTAATTTTTTACCATACTTACTATCTTTCATAGTTGCTCTTGTGTCATTAATAATGCCTCATAAAAAAAACTACTGCGTATCCTGAACTCTGAACAATCCCTTAGACTTGCTTCCTCTGGGATCTTACTAACAAATTATTTGAGTTTGCCTTTCAGGAAGTCTGCCTTCCTGAAGTCCATTGTCTCTGTTCTGCTGTTTTTCCTTGCATCATTCCTTAGAATTGTGACCTTTATGATTTTATGATCACTTTCCCCCAAGCTGCCTTCCACCTTCAAATTTGCAACCAGTTCATTCCTATTTAATAGTATAAACTGTAGAACACCATCTTCTTTAGTTGCTTTTTCTGCCTTCTGAAATAAAGAGTTGTCTCCAATACATTCAATTTTTTTTATAACCTATGCTCTGCTGTATTATTTCCCCAACATATATCTGGATGGTTGACCTTCACTACCAATTTCTGTGCTTTGGATGATCTTAGTTCTTTAAAAAAATCCTCATCCACTTTTTCTTCTTTGCTAGGTGGTATATAGTAGACCCCTTCCATCCTTGATTTTACTTGTCTTATCCTTACCCAGATACTTGCAACAGGTCTGCTTCCCAATTCCATTTCAACATCAGTGCAAGTCTATACATCTTTGTTATATAAAGCAACACCTTCTCCTTTTGTTTCCCTGCCTGTCCTTCCGACACAAGTTGACCCTTTCCGTTTATATGAATTATCCCACCAAGTGTGTGATGCCACTTGTCATAATTGTGATTATTCACTAATTTCAAGCTCTTAATGTTTATTCTCCATATTTCCCGCATCAGTATAGAGACATTTAATATATTATTTAGATTTTCAGTCTACAGTCTCTCTCTCCTGCTATGATTACCCATTGCTCATGCCAGACTCTGTGGCAATTTATTTTGTGAGTATGGATGGCACCAGCACACAAGAAGGAACTAGGTAACCTTTTCAAACTACGGCCCTTTATTTAGTCATTATGCCAACAGATTTTACTATATTCAGATTAATCTAGCTGCTGATTCTGCAATCCTTATTCTCAATAGTAAATTCTGTTTCGGACAATGAGATTATCTGGTTTAGATATTCTACCCATTAACATGAATTGGTAGAGGCAGTGAGAGTTTTACTATTCAAGATCTGAGTCCATGCTATGTAATAGTACAGCTGCAAATAAGCAGCACAATTGTGGTAAAATAAATGGATTTTAAAAATTATTTTGTAGTACCCTAAAATTATATTAACACCTTTTAAAAATATGATTTGTTTTGCATATCCCTAGAAATTCTTTTTCTTAAATATTTGCTGAGTCAACCCATTTTATTTCAAACTACAATTGTTTTACTTCTAACTAATTAAATTTAAATGTGAAAAAAAAAAACCATTTATAAGACTCTTTTCTTATTAGAACTTACATATCTCTAGGCACATTATTGTCCAGGAATATATTTTTATTCTCTTCTCTATTTCTTCCCAGAAGGAATGCCCCTTTAGATGTAGCTATAACAAATGTATTAATTTTCCATTTCCTTCTCTACAATGTCAGCATTTATCATTGTCTTTTATTACAACTTTGTTCTTTTCTGGATGGTGTCTAGTAAACTACAGGATTAATCTTCTGTTGTGTGATTTCTAACTTCAAATCCTTTTTGCATTTACTAATGTTCTTACACTAGCTGGTAGCATGCTCTTGACATAAAATAATGGGCTGATCTCCTTCGCCCTCTGCAGCAGCTCCATCAACAACTTTTTACTAAAAGGTGGATTTGTGATAGCATTTAGGGTTGCCTGGCATCTGTTCTGTGTCTGCATCATTTTGGTGAATCCAACCATTTTGATTAGTTCTCCTCTGCTGAGGTTCACCTGGAGTTTGTGATTTATACAAATCTGAAAACTTGGCGTGAAAGTAAAGCAAGGCTGGTGAAATTACACTTATTAGTTTTGTAATAAAGCCAAGGAGTTTGGCCATGTCTCCGCACATCCCCAGAAATAATTTTGTCTTTGGGGTAGGACCATGTTCTGGAGCTGCTTCTGTCTTCCTGACTTCTGAAATCCTTCTGATCACCTCCAATATTTTCAGGATTTTCAGTCTACTTTCATGCTCTTGAGTCTTTTGGGCTGCCGCACAAAATAATGGCTCATTCTTCATATATAGCCATGGACAATATCTTTAGGAGGTATCTTCTTATATCCAGCATTATATTGGGATATGAATTGTACTTGATTTTTGTCTAATAGATAATTTAGTTAGAATCATATTGTAGTCTTCTGTTACACCTTTCATCTGAGGTGCTCAAACATCTGTTGCAGACCATTAATTATGCTTCACAATATATATGTGATCTCATGAAGTAGGTTTTACTGGGGGGAACCTCAATATTCTAAATGTTTCTATATATTTTGGTTAGTCTCTTAGGATTACTTGTTGGTTTTCAGATAAGGGATATATAGGGATAATAGCTTGCACCACTTATATGCTGGCACTTGAGGAATGGAAAACAGCAGACTTTCAGCAGTGCACAATAACACACACACAGAGTAATAACCAAGAAAGTAAAGAACATCACAGTCAATTGAAGCTCACTGGGAAATGTAACTAAGTAAGCAGAGCACACTCAAACTTCATTGTAGTGCTAAACACCAATACTAGCATGTCCTTTATAGAAAGTGCCACAGGATCCGTAATGACCACGAGTATTTGGCAAAAGATATAAGACATTATTTACAGGCCTATATGCATGGCGGGGGATGGGGAACCAAATGCACCCCTCCCCACACAATCCCCTATGGATTCCCACGGGGTCCATTCTGGCTGGCCAGAGGAAGGTTGAGACTGATTCCCCCCTTGGAGGAGCTGGTCTGAGGCAGGAGAGGAAATCAGTCCCAGCCTTCCCCCAGCCGGCTGGAGCATGGGGAAGGGTACAGTTGAACAATAGCAGCTGCATGGCTGGGGTAATGCCTCCTCCATGAGAGAGGAGGGCTCAGCAGTAGCCCTGGGTCACAACAGGCTGTGGATAAAGCCAGAGCCTGCTTATTGTTGCCCCCCAACACCTCACATTGCCAAGGGGGAGACAGAGCAAGGCTGGCTACCCCTGCTGCACCAGGGAAACTCCCAGCCAGACACTTAGTGCAACGGGCTAGTGCAACCACTCCAAGCAGCCTGCATCCCAGTGCTGGGTCCAGTCCCTGCAAAGCTCCTCAGATTTGCACTGAGGCATCAGATCCAGGTAGCCTTTTCTCCTCCCCAGCAGCACGCTGTTCAGCCATCAGAGCAAGGGAGACACAAGACTTCCCAGATGTGCCACTGAGCCACTGTGGGACCTTGCACACATCACTGCCCTGGTTTTCCCATCTGTAAAAGTGATGTGGGTTTCTTGAGACAGTGTGTGCTCCTAATGAACATGAGGGAAAGTGGACACCTGGAGCTGGGGGTGTGTGATTCCCAACTGGAGGAGACATACTTGAGCTTAATCTCATGGAGCAGAGAGCTAAACATGGCAGCTGCAACAGCACTGTAAGCTGAGGAACTAGCTATTCTGAGTATGAGCCTAGGAATGCAGCTACTATCCTGTCTGTCTCTGGGTGGCTACCCATGCTACTC